CCGAAAAAGATGATTTTGTAAATTCTTAGGACAGTTCATGAATTACATTTTAAATGAAATTGGTTTCATACGTTGTTGAAATTCATACTTGGAGTTTCTTTTAATTGTCGTTGTCGTTATTACATTGGCTAGCATTAGCTTAGGTTACATTCTCTCTATGGAGTGAGTTTAAAAACAAATGTGACATCACTTGACATCATATATTGGGAAGTCTACTAAATAAATTTTTCTTTAACCTCAACTCTAATTCTTCTGTTATGAATAAATATTATTTTCCACTCCTGATTCTCGATTTTCGAGTGACATCGACTTCCCACCCTCTCGGATCTTAAATCGCGTCGTCGGGCGATCTTTTAAAAACTTTTAGATTCAAACGCAGGACGAGTTATAGGTAGGTTCCTCTGGTCGCCGAGCGGAAACCCGAAGAAAAGACAGTGACTGGGCTGGTGAATGGAGATGAGTAGCGTACATTGTTCAAAACTTGCGACCATTGCGAGGGGCCAGTTTAAGCAGAAGGTGGAATGAGAGAATCCGTCTTTGCCGCCAGCCTTGATACGTCCCTGAACGACTACGCTATACCTGGAACTTTCTTTGATTCGGGAAAAGGAGAGCTTCCAAGGGAAATCCGGACTTCTGTGCGACTACAGACGGGCCAACTTTATCGCGGTTTGTAATGCTCCCTAACATGCGTCTTACGATAAAAGAAAAGAAAAGTCAAAAATTCAAAAACCAAACTCAGCTTGGAGTTAATTTAATATCAATTCTTCGAAGTCAAAACAGATCCTTTTAATGGAAGTTACAAGCAACATATTTACTAAATATCAGTAAAATTGTACACTCGTTAAACAAATTCTCCCAAGTACGATAAAAATACAGTTCCTCTGTTTAAAAGTGTTGATGAGTAGATGTAGCGAAGTGTACATAGTAGGCGAAGAGAAAAAACCCACGAGAACATCTAATAAACACACATACTAACTGTAAGATTTAGATAACTTGCCCACAGAAAATTGTAAAAAGCACGTAACAGCTCTCGTACTCTTTAAAGTTGATGATCATTGATTTAGAAATACCTCATTATGTTCTAAAAATATCCAAGTCAACTTATTGTTAGGTAAAGGCTAGTTCAGATTAATTTAATAACGAAAGTTTATATCACGGACTTCCAACCCTGGATTTACCGTAAATATCACGAATCAAAGAAGTGATTAACGTGGAAAGCCAATTAAGATCTGCACGGGTGAGAGCCGCAACCCCAGTTGGGGTTCGTGGAATCCTTTATGAGAGTGACACGCACGATTTCCTGTTGGGTTTCATGTCACGTAAGTTGCGTAACAGGTGGCACAGAGTGACATAAGCCATGGGTTGGTTCCCTTCAAAACACTCTTATTCACTTATATTAGAAAAGTCTCGGACAGTCACGGAAATCGAATCAATAGATCATGAAATGTCACCTAACAGCCGATAGTGCATCCGATGTTGAAGTTTCTCATTTCCTGGATATCGTTCGTCGAAATGGTCACGGAAAGCCGCCAAGTATCGATTGACACTTTATGTATGTGAACAGGAATTGTTGTAAATAATACACTGAAGAGAAACTGTCGAATTCCATTGTTTCGTTGATATTGTTTAATATTGAGAATTAAATATTTTTTTTCAATGGTCCATTCTTGACACTGACATGAATTTCGTATAAAATTAATTTTCTATTATGTATTATTTATTCTAACATCCGATAAAAAGTCTCACTTTAAAAATCTGCTTTTTTACGCAAAATAAAAAAATACCCTCCTAAGTTTCACGAGGCACGAAACGTCGTTTAGAGATCGTGGAAACAAAGGGTGAGAGGAATAAAATTTTTATTCGCTCATCGCCAGAGATATAGCGAAATAGGCCTTCCGGCCGTGTCTTCCTTTCTTTCCGTGGAATTTTTCTTTTGACGCGCGACACGAAAACACTTCTTAAAACTTTCGTGGGTACGGTACGGCGGAAGGTTCGGGACACGGCGGCCTGAGAAGTCGAAAGTTCGCAGAAGAGAAGAGCGAAAACAAAAAACGACATTAGACGACCGAGAGAGAAACAAGGATTATCAATCAGAATGACAGCGATATAGAAAAGAGCTAGACCACATTAGTCTCCGTCCGATGGATTCATTCGAGCTGTCTATCACGGTAGCACTTTGAAATCCCCGAGGAATCAAGGGAACTCCTCGCAACGGTTTGTTACAAAGAATAACAGAATTGGAAATTGTTGTTTCCCGAATAATTTATTATTGTCTACCACGACTCCCACAATGAATTTCTGTCCTGAAAATATTATCTTTTAGAAATTACGACCGATCGAAATTGTGTATAAGTAGTGATTTTATTAACCCCTTGCACTATAACTGTTTTCTTAGTTTATTCCCTGCAAGCTCTACTCTCATTTTCCTGGATTTTATACCTATACAAGTATGCCAAATTAACATAGTCTCATAATCAAATGTGATAGTATGTCTCGTGAGAGACGGTCCATGGCCTCTACTCTTGTCAAGTAGATGCTTTAAAATCCGCTGAAAATCGTCTCGTGATAAAATACAAATTTGATTTCCCCACGTCTGATATGTGGTTGCGATCTGCTAGATCCGAAACGGTTACATTTGGATAGCCTAAAGCTAATGGTCTACGAGAGTTCAAGTCATTATCAAAGCAACACGTCTAAGGCTGATACTGGGTTGAAATCCACAAAGGTTTCAAGTCACCTCCAAGGGAAGTGGTTAATGCTCAATTCCCAGAGCGTAGTTGCAATCTGCCAGATTCAAATAGAACTGATTGGAGTTCTAACCAGGATCACGGGTTTGAACGTTTGAGGTTTCGCGGCTTCCTTTTACACTGTCATCTAGCACGGCGTTCGCATATACTCCGTGTGGATAGGTATGTTCGACGCTAGATGTAGATACAGAGGGTTTTGAGAAACACTGGCCCTCTTTGGAGCGAGCTATTAGTCAGGAAAGTAGGTGAAATTTGATCGCTGCTGTTTCTTAAGCTCACTGTTCAGTATACTGTGTACAGGACAATAATGGAATTAGGTTTGGTCTATTATAATTTTCTTCAAACTCTGCATTTCAAGTCAAATGAAACTATGGGTATAAATTAAATCATTAAATCAGAAATTTTATTTTACATTTTCCAACTATTAAAAAATTACTCTAAGAGTGTGCAATTGTGCATACAAAAATTGATCTCATAATTCAAACGTGAATATAATAATTATGAAAATATAGATGAAGATAAAATTAAAACAAGTCTTTTCATATTTTGTTAAATATAGATATGGCCTTTGGACACTTCAAAAAGGTATGATTTGTGCCAAGAAAAATTGAACTTGAGTTTTCAGAGATCAACAAATATTATGCTAAAGTATGTAGCCAAAGCGATGCAACGTTTAAACAATTAAGCGCGATGAAAATGAAGCGAGACATACAAACAGGAGCATTTCCCAAACGATTCGAAACGATAAACAAAGATATTTGTATTGCACTCGTTCATTGTAGATTCGTTGCTGTGATTCATATTTGAACGAGAAACGTTGGTAAATGAAATTAAACCGTCTGGATACTGATATCGTTGAAATATAACGTTCACGTTATCATTCGATATATGAGAAAGTTCAACAGTCATTGGCTAATTAATTGCCGAGAATTTCGGTGGATTGAATGTGCACTCGCGAAAACCAATTCGCGTAGGTTTCTGCAGAAAACAATAAACTCCAATAAAATCAATAGGGGCGAAAAATTTGCTCTTCGGACGCTTCATACCTCGAATATTGGCAATGTTTTTTATTAAGAGTTTCCCTTTTTTAAAGGGAGGTAATTAATTACGGATGAATTTTTTTTTTTGATAACTTTGGCTCTCAAAGTGATGAGAAATGGCTGTGTACAGATCTCCTATGCATTCCGGTTTATACCAGGGAAAGCGAAATGATGAACGTAAAACTTCCTTGGCGACGAGACATGGGGTTTTTATTTCATTTATAATTGAAGAGACTCTGTAATATTTGGCAGTGGACAGTTTACATTTAATTTGAAGTAAGTGGATTAATACTATCCAACGGATTCGTGAATATTATGCGTAGCAGAATGCATTTGTACGAATATTTGCATCAGTAATTTAAAGTAAGGAACGATCACTAATTTTATAAAATTATTAATATGATGTAAAATGTGAGTCATATACATGATTGTAAAATATTATTTTCTTGGGTTATTGAAATGTTAAATTTAGCGAGGTGATTCATTTCATGAATGTTGTTACTTTGCACGAAAAAAAGGGAAATGGGTGCCGAGTTGATAAGGTATAGTAATCTGTCGATAAAGTAGTGCATTCTGTTGATAATGTTGGTTGCCCTGGCGATAATGTTGTACACTATACTGATCAAATCTGTAGCTAACTAGTGTTCTATATTACCGGTAGAGTGATGATACAAACATTTATTTGAAATAAATTAATTACCCGAATGTTAAAATTTAAACCGTTAAACGACATAAACAGAGACTCAATAATCGTGGTTCTTTGTCCAAATACACTCATTTAACATTTAAAGGGAGAAATTGTTCCATTTATGTTCCACGAAAATCGTTTGACGGACAGTATTTTATAAAAGACTTGGCATTTAATATACATACATGACATTTTCGTTGGGAAATATTCGTCAGAGGTACAAAGCATTCGCACCAAAATAGTCGGAACTAAAAGGTATCGCAAAAGAGCGTCGCTCGGCTCAGCGTAGATATATTTCAATCAGGGAACGTCGTTTTTAAGGCGCGTTGACCGAGTTTCTTTGTGGGTCGTACTTTGGGGACACACGAAACAGCACACAGTGTTAATTTGCATCTCATGGACATGTAAATGCAAAAGGATCTTCCTCCCTTCCCCCACTTCGTTCTTCGCTCACATTCCCGTTCTCTTTACCACGTTCCCTTGCACATGAAATAGCGTCTACGTACATATATCACTTATACTCACTTTTCCATCTGGACTGCATACTTTGATACCCGCTAGCGAGACTATCAGAAGAACAGGCGTAGACCGATCGCTGTACTGAAAGGAAACAGACGTTTTCATATAACGATTGAAAATTATTCGAATTTGTTACATACTAGAAACTTAAAGGTAAAAATATAACTAAAGTTATTGACTGGGTTCGATTAAAATACAGAGAATGCTAGAGAAATAATCAGGAACAATAATGAGGGAACATCAATTTTGTTGGTACCCAAAGATTGAATCTTATACATTCGATAAATATGTAATTATTTAACGTTTTTGACCATCGTCAGAATCATATAATGTAGTGTATAAAAACAACAATGGTTAAGATTTGGGGAAGATTATTTTTGCACTTCAATTTATTTATGGAATTTCCTTATAAACTGCATCATTTAAAAAACCTTCACGAAAACTGATAACTGTTCTTTATCAATTTGTAGTGAGTTTTATATTTCAATGGTAGGTGAAGGTAGGTAAACATCAGTCTGACGAGGCGGCTAATCGCCATTTTCGAGTTACGCGGCGTGTTGGAGAACTTTCGCCGCTGCACAACAACAAGAAAGTTGGCAAAGCGGGCGAAATGATTGAAAGTGGTACTAGCAACGGCAGAATATTCCCTATTTTCCGTTGCAGACACGGCTCATTGTCTTAAAAACCCACTGAGGTGGTTAGACGTAGCCTGAGTGGGAAAGGGGATCGCCGGTATAATTACTATAAAGCAAGGGATGGTTTTCGATAACGGACGCCAGTGCATTCTTTTTATACTGGGTGACTCGCGAAGTCTTTTCTTCCTTTCCTTTTTGCCATCACAATCTTGTCAGCGAAATGAAGAGTGAAATATAACACATCCAACGAAATAAGAAGCACATATTAAAGAGATACCTCGTTCTTTGGTAACTGGTGTAACGTATAAATATGTTTAAGTATGTTTCTAGTCAAACGTAAACGATTACTTTATTACACAATTCTATTTCGAGTCGCACAATATTTTTCGAAACAAGGTTTCAAAATTACTTATCCGAATAAACAAATTCTAACGTTGAATATAAGTTCCCAATCAGTGGTATTAAAAACAAATACGAATCAACAAATTGAGTGAAAGTTGTCCCTCGATCCCCGAACCTGCTACCTCGCTGAAAGGGGTGGCGGTAAATTTAATTTATTGCAGCAGTTTTATTGAAGCAATTAAAAAATTAATTTATTGAAGCACTTCAAACGAATATGCTCCGCAAAGCATCAGAAAGCGATTAATGAAACCTCGATTTCTTGCAGATTATATTCGCATGTCTTGAATATTTTTAACTCTCCCCTTCGTCGGGTTCTCTTACCCCCATTCTCAGTTCCCTGCTCTCTAAGTAATTGTTTCACGCTGTGAAAGTAGAATAAATATTAAACGCAATAATGGAAATTTGACGAACGATGGGAATTTCCTTAATTATTTCACCCTTATTTTTATCCGATACTCTAAAGGGTAATTGCTGTGCACCTTTGCTTTTTTTATGAGACAAAGTTTGTCAATCGTGTGACAGTGTACGCATGTTATTTTAAGTGTTTTTAATGTAAGCTTAGTGATTCATAGTGATTCTGTTACTGTTGTATAGAAGAGCATCAAACAGAAGACCCTCGCCCTAAGACAGATCCATTGACCCAGTGATTCGTCCACTTTTCCCCTCGGTCACGAATGACCGCGCAAATCGAGACGTATCAAAGACAGCATAATCGCCTCACGAACACAAGAATAAATCGCCCATGTATTATTTAAAGTGACACAAGTCGACAAACGAGAATGTTAGGTGCCATCGTGTATGAGTTTGCTGAACAGTGAACGGTCCACTATTAATTATCAAAAGTGCATTAATTTGGGAACTCGTCGCTCCTGTGACATTTTTAATGTTTCATACAAAAGCACACCATCCTCTATAAGAGTGATATAATAATAAATTTATGAAAAACATTTTACAACTGATAATAATGGTAGCTGTCGGTAGCTATTTCTGTTGCCAATAATAAATGTGTAATGACTATTTGAATTTTTCCTTTTCAAACAAAAACATACCACCTTGTATAAGCGTGACAGTCACAGTTTCACCGTAAAACTGATAAAATAAGGTTCATGATAGCTGTCCCTTTTGCATAAAATAAATACGAAATAGACAATTTAATTTTTCCTTTTCAAACAAAAACGTACTACTGGCTCGAGTACCGTACCATTGAAAAAAATGTTAACAATTCTTCCTTTAGCCACTAATAAATGTACAATAGACGATAGCATTATTCTTTTTAAAACAAGCTACTACAAAAGTTAGCCGTCGATAGCTGCAACAGATATTTCCCTCTGAATTCACAAATACTTTCTCGCCCCCGTAAAAAGACTAACTTTCTCGAGTGACGCGTCTTTCGAACCACGCAGGGTATATCAAAGTCACCCACAGGCACCATCGTACCAGTCGACGAGCCCAAGGATGAACATTGTGCGACGTTCGTTCGAGGACACCCGTTGGTTCCCGCAGCTTTGTTCGACGGGGGTGATTAAAAAGTTGCTGAGTGAGTCTTGCCGACAGGAGGATACGGAGCGAAGCAGATATAGAGGGACGGTAAAAGTGAAAGATAGAGGAAAAAATGGTGAGATAGAAAGAAGCAAGAGGGTAGGAAAAGGAGTAACGCGGTGACGAGAAGAAAGACGATGGTCCGTGGAAGAAAGATGGAGTGCGATGTGGGTTGAAGGAAAAAACGAGTAGGGAAGAGAGAAGAGATGTGTGTGGGAAGAAAGATGCAAGATCAAGGACGAAAGGAGACAGTGGTTGCGACGGGGACTATTTGAGACAAATGAAAGGGATAGAGATACGAGTGGATGAGAAAAAGACAGACGAAATGGACAGGTAGGCAGGTAGACAGAGAAAGGGAGAGACAGAGTGCGCGAATGAGTATGCACCCCCGGAAGGGCGGGTCGAAAGGTCGGGATGACTGGTTGCTCGGTGTGTGAACCAATGTATGAAGTTCAAACCCGGATGAGCTTTTGGCGTGATCACCATTTTCCTCGTGCTTAAATTTCCTTTGTTTCCTGCAACGCTAAATATCCAACCGTGTGCACCACGGTTCCATCCATTTTTCCACGGCCCTCTACTTGCCTTAGTTTACCCCATTCTTCCTTGGGCGCGTCTCTTACCTCTGTTCCTGTTCACTCAGCTCAACACGAAGTTACCCTCGCTCGATTTACCACGAGCGTAGTCATTTCACCCGCCCCTTCAACCCTTATCTTTCAGATTGAAGTTTTCCGTTAGTCGTGATAACACCTGTAATGTTCCCGCCTAATCTATCGAATGACCAGCGATGTCGCCATCAAAGAGGAGAATGGGACAAATTGCAGTCCCTTCTGCTACGAATATTTTTTAACCACTGCAATTTAGTTCAAAGACAAAGTGTACTTAAAATGTGCATATGTAAATGTAATTCGATGGGATTAATTCTATAATTCTTTGAGGTTTATTAACTTCAAAAATGTAAAAGTCGGCGCATACCTATATTTTTACAACCATATCTTTGTAATTAGAGGAAGAAGGAGAAAACTAGTCTATCATTTTATATAATTCTCTGTTATAATAATATTTTATATTGCTTTTGTTCGCTTCGTTAATGTCCAGAGTTTTCTATGCAAACACCATTTGCATATGTACAGATTGGAAGACACAGAATCGTGTCTGAACCGGTACCTCGAATGAGACGGAATTGGAAATTAATTGGTTTGTCGTCTGCAGGCTCGCTCTTTCTCATTTTGCAGCAGACCTCAGACTTTCCAGGTACGCATTGAAATTAAGGTTCACGATAATCCTAAATTAGAAATAGCAGAATTTTCAAAGGTATCAAGTTCTTCATGCGATAGTAGAATCAAATTTCAATGGATTTAAAGTACTGAAGCTAGTTTAAATATATGCTTCGTACGCATTGAAATATTTAAATTAATTATTTTCAAATGTATTGGAAACTTACCAATTTTATTTTCTGGCTAAGATCAATCTCTGTACGTAGATTTAATTGTTAATAATCATATTAAATTCTAGTCAATTCTATGTATTGGATGACTTTTCTTTTTTATTAAAAATATTATTTTCTATATGAAACTGTTTTTGATAAGGTTGTACTTCCTGCCTAATAATCAACGTTCGCAACGCAAGTCTTACCGCTTAATATTACTAAACAATTTACAACATATCTATGATATTTACAAGAGCAAAAATGTAAAACTACTACTAAGTTTATTTATCAGTTCATTCTATGAACATACTCATTTTCGATCGTGACATATATCACCGAAGCAAACACTGTTCCTCGGTTCTGTTTATTCCAAAATGAGCCCAAGGATTCTTTCTCCGTCATCCGAATCACTGAACAACGCACAGTTACCGTTCAGATAATGTCGCCCATCAAATCTGCCACGGGTAATAAAGGGAATGGTTACGAGGACCGCGATTGTCAATGACTCATGATGTGACTCAAAATATCGCCTGAAACAAGGGTGAAACGTGCTGTTGGGGTTTTCTTGACGTGGCATTTCGAAAGGATCGTTCTTTGCCTTGCCACACCGACTGCTCACGGATTTATGAATTTATCAGCCGGGGAATCGTTTCTACAAATACGGTCCACATACCATATAGGGTGCATATCAAGCACCATCCCCTCGTGATCGCAAGACTGAAGAAAGGAGAGCACTCGAGGCTTCCGAGCATGAAAAACGAAGGGTGAATACGCCTAAAGAGAAGGAGTACATTGATTTGAACTCTTATGCTCCTTTTCGCATTCGTCGTCTTTCTTTTTCAGAACGATTAACAGATTTCTAAAGGAGAGCTGCACGAGCAGCAATTATTAGCAGCAATTACAATTTGCCGCGTCGTTTTTTAATCGCGGTGATATTGAAATATTTTTTGTCGGACGTTTACGTGGGAAGTATAATTGAGGCTATTCATTTAGTAAGCTGTGGGTATTACATCAATAAGGATTCCGCACTTTTCACACTTTATGCAAATAATATGCGGACATTCGTATATTTCTATACA